CCTGTCTCGGACAGCGGCCAAGCCCAGATGCTTCAGAGGAAGGCAGAATTCACTCCAAAGTGGACAATTGTGAAATAGCAAAACCTAGAGAGAAACTTCAGTCCATGGCTGCCCTACGCCTTGATGCAGGCATGATTAAAGCCCTTACACTTTTACTGTTGCTAAACAGAACTCTGGTGCTCTCGTTATCCACAGGACTGCCTAGTATTGTTACTTTTGCAAAGCATTTGGCATCAATATCTTGTGGCAATGAATTCCACAGGCTAATTGTGTATTAAACCCGTTCCATTATGTGGGGGAAGAGGGGTGAATAAATCAGTTTTAAATTTGTGCCTTTTCCATCTCATTGATTATCCCTTTACTCCTGTAGCCAAGACGGTAGCAGGACTGCCCAATAACTCTGTTATTTTCCAGACACCGATATTGTGCCCCCTTAGATTCCATTTCCTCTCTGAACTAAACAGCCTCAGTCTTTTAAACCCCTCTGCATACACAAGGTCTTGTCAGGCCTTGGACTGCTCCCCTTGGCCCTCTCTGGAGCACTCCCCCCACTTCTGCTGTATCCTTTCAAGATGGGGAGATCAGAAATGAACACACTAGTCCACAGAGGGACACCCCATTGATTTATAGATGGGATGGGGAGAAATTCAGAAAACCATGTCGTATACACCTTGACCGGGCTGTCTGTTCTCCCTGCTGCTGGGCACCACGCACAGGTTTTCACAGCCTTGTCCTCTGAGACCCCTCGGCTGTGCGGGAAGAGCTAACGCTATTCCTTGCAACAGACGTTCCTGAGGAATATGCTGCCCATTCACCGAGCCTGGCATGGTCTGAAGTCCCTCCCACTCTTCTCTAGCCCTGGCCCGAAATGAACGAGGTTCTCGAACACTTCCGGGGTGGGAGCAGAAAGGAACGGGCATGTTTTGGAGGAGAAGGTAGTAAAATCCTGATGCATTTTTCTCCACTGCATCAACGAGCAGGGGCGGGAGAGAAGTGACCCCAAAGAGATGCATGAGCGACTTGGCCCCCAGCCTGGCACAAGCATAGAGCAGGATTCCTGCTGGCTCTGGGCCGGGAGGATGGAGCCAGCTGCCCACCAGCCCTGGGCGGAGGCGGACGTCTCAGGAGAACACTCTGCTCCTTAGACCATGCAGAGCAGCAGGTGCGTGGAGCTGGGGGAGCGGACTTGGCGCTTACGTACACAGGAGAAGATCGAGGCTGGCTGGCCTGTTACACCAGGCTGGCAAACTCCACCAGCCCTAAGCCCAGGTGTCCACACAGCACCCCCCGCCGTCAGACCAGCTCTCGCAGAGCCAGCACGAGCCTTCTGTCATCCGCATGGGGCAGACCATGCACTTGGCTACAGGACGCTCCCAGCCAGGGAGATGAGGCCTTCAACCACTATCCCGTCACGGCTGAACGAGACGGTCACCACGGCGGTGACAAGGACCGAACGCCCTGCCATGCAGCCCATAGGTCGGCACGTGGGGGAGGCGTGCCCTGACGCCCCAGTCCTGGTGTAGACAAGCAATCCCTGGCCTTATGGCTCGGTGTTCTGCCAATTACGGCCTCTCGGCTGCCTTCCCTCACAGCCCTCTGTGGCCATTGTGTGGGGCTAAGTGCCGGCAGCCCTCCAATGAGATGTGCTAAGTGTTTAATACGGTCTGGAAGTGGGAAGCCCCAGGCATCTGTTGCAGCTAGCCGGTCAGGAAGCACGCACACACACACCCCCGCAGTGATGAGTTTAAGAAGCTGTCTGCCAGCAGCACATTCTGAAGGGTTTTTTTCCCCTCTCTTGGCTAATCAGCTACTGAAAGAAGAGCTCCCTCAGCCCAGCCAGCCACGGCACTCCCCCCCAGCCCGGGTCAGCTGCGCTGCGGAGGAGGGAAGTGGGCTTGGAAAGGCCGGCGGCTCACTGAGGAGCACTCAACGCGCCTTCATTCATTATCCACTGACATATGGAATAGTCATTGCGGGAGGAAACAGAACCAAACAAAAGCCCCAAACTGCTTCCTCCCAGCGAGGCCTGACAGCCCCTGCAGCCATTCATCTCGGCCCGGCGGAGAGGAAGAGACACTTGGACGGGACGACAAGTGTTGAAGTGGCTGCGGGGCCTGGGGGTGGGGAACGGCCTCCCCAAAGGGAGCTGCCTTAATCGCCAGCCCGCCCAGGGAAACATTGACACATCCTGCGCTTTCATGTTCTTCCCCGCGCGGGACGCGAGCTCTGACAGCCAAGAGCGGGTGCGAAGGGAGAGGGCCCCGCGTGCGATGCTGAGCTCCCGCGGCCGAGCGCGCCCGGCCAGGAAACCAATTTATTTTGTTGTGTCTCTTCTCAGAGCACACGGTAGAGTGTGATTTGGGCGCCTGGCCAGCCCAGGCGCTGACGCCTGCCAAGCGAGCGGGAGCTCAGGGAGAGGAAATTTAGTCTGTGCTAAGCACGGGGGCATAGCGGGTCGGAGCGCTGATTCTTTATTAAAGAGCTCCGAAAGCCACGCACCCACAGAGCCAGCCCGCCCGCCCCACGGCAGCCTGAGTCACAGCCCACACCGCGGCACCACCACGCAGGGCCCCACTTCCCAAGTGCACCTCACCCCTGGAGGAACCAGGGGCTGGTACAGGTGACAAGGGACCAGCTCTGTGCTATGCACAAAACTCCCCTCAGCAGGTCATTGGCTAGGCACCAAAACCCGACAGGAAACCGGCAAAGGCGCTCCCAGGGGGCAGCCAGCCCGGCATGAGCCAAGGGCAGCCACGGGGGCTCTGCAGCCACGATGCTGTTTATCAGATACGGCCCGGGAAAGGACATTACCCAGCATGCCCTGCAGGCTGCTCACCGCAGGGGCTGGACCTTTCCACACGCTGGTTAATTAGGGTAACGTTTTGGAAGGGATATTAAAGCCCCTGCTGCAGACACCTGAAGTGGGGGGCAGATGACCCTGCTGAGCGTCGAGTTTCTCACCCCTTCCTCTGAAGCAGCTGGTGCCAGCCAGGGTCAGTGAGAGGAGCCTGGGGTCTGACCCAGCCAGGCCCTTGCGATGCTCCGAGGGAGGGGGGAGGACTGGCTCTCAGTCCTGTCAGCTCCGCGGGCTGCCCTCTCCTAGGGAAGGGGAAGGTGGTTGCAACCTGTTCCTGTCTTTTAGCAAAGCTTGGATGTCCCTGGTTTGACAGGGACCAGCAGGTCTGAGGGCCGAAATCCTCTGCTAGCAGCAGCCACCCTGGGCGAGTCCCACTCCAACATCCTTGGTACTCCTTGTAAGGATCCGGGGACTAGAACCTGGGTCTGCAGAGCCTTGGTCAGCTGATGTTCCCACAGCGCCACCACGAGACCATGCAGAGGTACAGCCAGGGAGCACCATGGAGACCACCCAAGGGACCCAGACTGACTGTACGCTACAGCCCTCTGATTGGCCAAGCACCCTATTTATCCTCAGGGGTCACCCCTGG